ATAGGTACACTGTACAACGTACATACATATAATGAGGTACACATACATGGTGAAATATCAAAAAACCAGTAAAATATATATAACATACATATCAAATCTAAAAATACAAAAATACAAAAATACAAAAAAGTCACACTACTCGCATGATAGGCCATGACGATCCCTGAATATTCAATGTCGGTGTCTCGCTCCTAATGAGTATGCTTTCAGCAATTTTCCTGTCTGGATGATCCTGGGCTCTGTAAAGTACAGGGTGACACAAAAAAAGCGGTCATCACCAAAATTCGAATAACTTCGGAAGTTTTATTCAGATCATCACCAAACTTCGGCCACGTTAGGTCACACCTATGTAGCAGACATCCACCAAGTTTCAAGTCTTCACTACGAATACTTTTAGTACAGTGTGTGTTTTACGGACGCTCCACAATGTGCTCCAGGTGAGCGCACCGGCGCTGCAGGGCGTAGGCACACCTGCATCCGGCGGGCAAAGTTGCCGATAACCCGATAAGAATAACGTTTCAGGGGTAGCACACCCCCTGAGCACTGTCTCCAGAGGCCATTGCACTCTGTAAAGTGCACAGCCATCGGGTTATGGACAACTTTGCCCGCCGGATGCAAGTGTGCCTACGCCCTGCAGCGCCGTGGCGCTCACCTGGAGCACATTGTGGAGCGTCAGTAAAACACACACTGTACTAAAAGTATTCGTAGTGAAGACTTGAAACTTGGTGGATGTATGCTACATAGGTGTGACCTTAAGTGGCCGAAGTGTGGTGATGATCTGAATAAAACTTCCGAAGGTATTCGAAATTTGGTGATGACCTTTTTTTTGTGTCACCCTGTATTCTAAGATGTAAGACATCTGAACCCGTATCAGTCAGTGAAACGTGCTCCTTCAGAAAGTGGTCACCGAATGGAGTGTTGGGGGTTCTATTGATAGCGTCACGTCGGTGTTCATTATATCGTAGACGGACTGGACGCATGGACTCCCCCACGTAAGTGGCATCTTTTCCCTCACTTTTGCATATGCTACATTGAATTTTGTAAACAACATTCTTTTGTGTGCATATTCAGGGATCGTCATGGCCTATCATGCGAGTAGTGTGACTTTTTTGTATTTTTGTATTTTTGTATTTTTAGATTTGATGTGTATGTTATATATATTTTACTGGTTTTTTGATATTTCACCATGAATGTGTACCTCATTATATGTATGTACGTATGACGCACACCTTTTGCTCGGCGACGGCCGCCCCCCCCCCCCCCCCCCGCCAGCCGCCTGACCTATCCATCACGAGGCCCGCTGTGGGTCTAGGCGCTGCACCGTCTTGCCGGCGCTTCGCCCTCTTGCCAGCAAGCATGTATTTAGATGAATATGCTTTTGCCAATCTGTTTGTACCGAACTTCTGCTCATGTGTACCTTTTAGGGCGTAGCTATATTTTTGCTTTTTAAGTGCATGATATCTTTAGGGTGTATGATCAGATGTTTTGTTGATGTTTTGTTGTTCGATATTGTTGTACGATTTGATATCGATACGTTTTTACGATCGAAAGCGATGCGAACCTCGAAATGTGATGGTAGCCCTGCATGACGACCACGAGACAAACGAATTTGGAATTTTTCACTTTCTACAGGCAGTCGACAATTGTTGCGCATTTCACTCGCTACTTTTGCCTTGTACGATTTAACGAATTCGATTTAGACGAAGGTCTGTGACCGAAATATCATCAATTCATCAATAAATATTCATTTTCATTCATTTGGTCATTTTCCGAGGAGAAGGTCATATATTCTAATGATACTTCCTACATTTATCATGCTCCTCGCAGCAGCTCTCAACGATATACCGGGTGGCCCAGAAAAAAACGTTCCCAACTTTAAATCAATATTTCTCAGAAAGTGATAACGATACAACATTGAAACTTCTAATAGTCAATGCGGCACACATTTTCAGTAAATGGTGTGATTTTTATGTTATTCGGTCAATTACTTTTTAAACGGTTCGTGTTTCTAGCATGCCATGTAAAAATCACGTTTTTGCTCTGATGTTTACCAAAAATGTGAGTGAACGGGCCACTTCCATCTCGCCACCACGGCCTACAGCCATGACTGCTACTGGCAACTAGTCTCATTGGTGGTTCAGGCCTCAGGGTTACACATTCCCTCTAGCTTTTTTCCTTATTCGGTCGATTTACTATCATCATCATCATCATCACGTTTATTAAGAAACAAAAGAATACACAAAATCAAGATAAGTAAGAACTGGTGCAAAAGCACTCGAAAGTGCTTAATTCGAGGCACCAGCTCTGTTAAAGAACATACAAGCAAATAAACACATACACACATATACAAGAACTTAAAATGGATTCAAACAAACTAAATCGCCGGTCGCCGCCACCAAGCCGAACGCGTCGCGCATTACAGGTTGTCCAGAGAGCCCCGTTGCCGACGCCACCCCACCGAGACACGCCCATCCCGCCTCGTAATTAAGTAGTCAGAGTGTTGGGATTGTAAAGCGCCCAGAATTAAGTAAGAACGTTTGGAAGTGTTGAGCCACCGCCCGGCCGTCGCCACTATTTAGGTTGGTGCCATGAAGAAGGATTTCCAATTTTTTATTAGTTTGGTATTCATGAAAGTTAGTATGGAGTGTTTGCGATACTTTTTGGTAAAGGATGCGTCTTTGAGGTAAAAACAATGGACATGCTGTGATGAAATGACGAACGCTTTCTATGCTGTGACCACAAGGGCATGCCGGAGAATCTTGTTTTTGAATGTTAAATTGTTGTGAATTTAAATCGGACATTCCATTTCTTAGTCGCGAATGTAGGATGTTGCCTGTCTTTGACCCAAACGAGTAGTATTTTGGTGGCTGATCTATTTGATCTTCTATTTGATCTTGATCTACTATTTGATCTTCTTGAAGGGAGGGTGATCAACAATAACCCATGCACCGTGCCACTCCTTCGCCTTGAAACAGAACTTGTGTTGAAACGAATGGCATCCATTAACACAACTTTGGCTTAGTATTTGAATATGTAGCACATAAGTGTGACAAAAAATATAAAATAGCAACACACGTGCTGGTATCACTCAAGCCGTTCTATTTTTTTTGTATTTTTTCTAACATTGTACGTCTAAGCCAATCATTACTTCCGTTCAACAACGGCAAAAAAAAAAACAAAAACGTCTTACTTCATTCAACATAAGATTGCTGGCTTGAAAATGATGGTACAGTGTTATAATTTGGCATACCAATGCGCAAAGAAGTGACGCAAGCTCGATGAAAATTTTGGCTCGTTATTTGCACTCGAATTTGAGATATAGGCCTCCAAAGTTCGGAACGTTTTTTTTTGGGCCACCCGGTATAAAAGATACTGATGCTGGTCAGTTCGACCGTACACAAATAAGGCCTCATATGTATCATCAGCTTGAGAAGTTCGGACCGGTCACAGATCGGCAGACAAGGGTGGCGCCACAGGGGATGGGACGGAGGGATTTCCTCTCCCAGTTCACGGGGTAGAGGGCTATCCCCTCCGGTTTTGTTTATTGCTATCGGCCTCATGCCTCTATGTGCTTTTTTCATTCAAATACATAATAGGAAACTTCGTGAAATCAAAAATTCCTATACACCGACAAGCAACTTCGCCTGAATATATGACTACTATGATTAGCAGCGCTGGCGCATCAGAAAACTTGTGGCATATTCATAGTCGTTAATAGTTTTTGTTGTTCTTTTTTCGAGGGGGGCGGGGTAGGCTCTTTCCGTCTAGCGAGACCATTTCAGAGCCGGTAGGATGATATGAAATAGGGAGAGACATTGGTCTGGGCGGGCATCACGGTGACTCGTCGGGGCTGAGCCCATCACGAGGAACGGCCAACCAGCCCCCTGACACTCACCGCTGACCGCACCCGGCCACGGGCGTGATCCTAGGGGAGCTACCCGCATGTGGGATAAAGATGCCCGTCTAGTCCGGAACAGGGGGTGGAGGCCTGGAGGAGAAGGACAGGACTATCCCGAGGATGGAAATGACGGAACGGGCCGTTGAATGATTGCAGAAATGCAGACGAGCAGCAGAACTAGCGAGAACGAGTGTCCGCATTAGCGGGTTATCGCATCCACATCTGTGACTTTACCCGCCTCATGAGACTGGCCAGCAGCCAGGGACCTTAGTTATCCCAGGAAACTGGTCAGTCGTCCCTCAATTGCAGCAGGAGACTGGTCTTTGACCTCACTTGTCCCAGAGGACTGGTCCATGACCTTACCTGTCTCGGTAGGTAGGATTCCGGAGCCCCATTGTGTCCCCTCCGGCCTCCTCGATTTTAGGACTAAAGTACGTATCGCTTAAGTACGTAGGACAAAAGTACGTATGCAAATGTTCGTACGCAAATATACGTAGGCGATAAAGTTCGTATGCCAAAAGTACGTACGCAAATGCTCGTACGCAAAAGTACGTATGCAAAAGTACGTAGTGCATAAAGTACGTATGTCAAAAGTACGTACGCAAATGTTCGTACGCAAAAGTACGTATGAAAAAGTACGTAGTGCATAAAGTACGTATGCCAAAAGTACGTACGCAAATGTTCGTACGCAAAAGTACGCATGCAAAAGCACGTAGTGTAAAATGTACGTATGACAAAAGTACGTACGCAAATGTTCGTACGCAAAAGTTCGTATGCAAAAGTGCGTAGTGTATAAAGTACGTATGCCAAAAGTACGTACGCAAATGTTCGTACGCAAAAGTACGTATACAAAAGTGCGTAGTGTATAAAGTACGTATGCCAAAAGTACGTACGCAAATGTTCGTACGCAAAAGTTCGTATGCAAAAGTACGTAGTGTAAAAAGTACGTATGCCAAAAGTACGTACGGTTCGTATGCCAAAGTTATACGTAGTGTATAAAGTACGTAAGCTAGAAGTAGGGTATAGTAGTTGTAGATGGCACAGCCGCCACTGTAGCAGCCACCACGTGGCTGAATAGCGCGGAGCGCCGAAAGACGAGCCGTTGACGAAGGACCTTTATTGCCCTTGTTACTGTGGGAGGCGCACGCACACACAGGGGTACACAGGTCAGTACCAAATCTCCCATCAGTAACCACAGTCCACACTGAATTCCGTCCGAAACAGTCGACCTTTTGATAAACTGTACATATTACGTTACAGCGTTCTTAAACTCAACATATAGACAATGGCAGAACATAATAAACACTAGCTCCTACCGGCTGTTCCTCGTCTCCGCTGTACGTGCCACTCGTCAACAGCGGCACCGCCGCACCCTGGGCCGTCAGGGGCCGGCCACTCAAACGCCCCGGCCACGAGACCGCTCTCGGCTCCAGCCACGGGGGAAAGCGCACAGCTATCGACTGGCCTACACGTCCCCGGGCCAACCGGAGCGAGCCGAGCACCTACGAAAATTGAAACATTTTTAAATGGCGCACTTGAGGCACAAGAATATACGATATCAAAGAAATAAGCATAGAAAGCTAATTAAAGCATATACGAATTTACTGGTTTACACTGAAATAAATTACATTCAACATTGAAGTGCTCCCAAATCCTATATAATCAAACTTACTCATCAGCGTCGCGCTGGGACACACGCATCCACCCCTCATGAAGGTCGGGCGGGAAAAGAGCGCACACGCAGCTCGAAAACTGCGCCACAGCTCGGCCAGGTCACGTGACCTGCCAGCGTGTCACTCAAAAACTCGCGTCGCATCTCTTACATCGACGTGTCAACTAAACTAACCATAATCAAGCCATATTTTTTATATAAGAAATATAATCACACATGAAATACCGCCTCCGAACCAAATATTACCGAAACGCGCCCCTCGACGATAAGAGATGCAAGTTTTATAGTAACAAACCACTCTGATCGGACAATCGAATCTCCGTCACTCAATACCGCGAGTATAATAGTGCACCTAACTTATCACTGGTGGCAAGGTTTGAAAAAGGATAGGAAAAAAGGTTAACAAGTGAAACGGATAACTGGGTTGCGGGACCCCCGCCACTCGCACCTCACTCAGGACCCGATAACAGCGACACCTACAACCCGACACGGGCGCCGTCTACAGTAGTGAATGTTGAGCCACTTTTTCTTTATTGCTGCTCTGTTGCCATACTACAGGGAACTCATGATAAATTCATATACCAAATAATACAGCTTTGTCCATTTCGCCCATTTACTCATCGAGAAATTTTGCTATGCCTTGTAACAAATGCTCATTAAATAAAGAATAAGAAAGGTATTACACATTGATCAACTTAACCCAAGGGTGGGGTACGTACCTACTTAATACCCTACTTACAATTGCTATACGTACTTTTGTCCGTGACGTACTTTTGTCCACAGGCGTAGGGTAGACCAGGGCAAGTCGCCCCGCCGAGGTAAAACGCCTCACCGATGTTACTCGGAACTGGCAGGGTTCTGGGGAAAGATCCTCTCTTCTGTTACCCGGCCGGGCCCGGGGGTAATTCCAACCACCGCAGCCCGGGGAGGGGCGTTTTTCGCCCCCTGTCTAACTCCGTAAATAAGGGAGCTACGTAAACAAAAGAGATACTAAACGAAAGTTCCTTATGAGACGATTCTAAAGCACCCAAAATTTTTGACCTCAGGTCAATTTTCAAGGTCAGAGGTCAAGGTCAAAGGCAAAAACCGGCACATTCTGTGAGTAATCTCAAAGTGAGCGTTCTAGAGGACGGCAGGATGCATAAAACCGGCAAAATTGGGTTTCAAACGAAAGAAGAGAATCATCTGAGAATTCCGAAAATGTGCTCAACATCAAAGGTCAAGGTCAAGGTCATGCTCAAAATTGACCTCAAACTTTGCACTTTTTCGTACATCTTGCGTGTCAACTTCAAAGATGTTTTGAAATGTTTTGAGGCTTATCAGGTCCCTATTTGTGGTTCATCTTACGATACAAGGCTGCTCAAAGGTCAAGGTCACAGAAGAGAGTCCTTGCTAGAGGCTATTTCACTGATTCAAGTTAGTAATAATAAATAAGACAATTTTGCCATCCGGAGGCTCTAAATATAGGCTTCGAGGAAAATAGATGCCAGATACGTGATCAGCGGGTAGGAATCCATCATACACGATTTTTGGTGTGTCAAGGTCAACCAAAGGTCATTCGAGGTCACATGAGGTCAACATAAAACTTGTCCTTTTCCAAACAAAATATATATCATTCGACGCGGCTTGACAAGGCAAATGCGATGGTACCACTGCCGTAGCTCTAGGACCATTTTTGTCGAAGTTATTTGCGAAAAACTAAAACCACAGCTCGGGGTCGTTGACCTGACCTCTGACCTCAGGTCACTAAAACTATTTTTGTATTTTTTTCTAGGTCAAACGCTACACAACCGTGCTCGTAATTTGTCTTTATCTCTAAAACTCTATTTTTAGCAGCTATTTGAAGTTCGCGTCTGTGACACCGAAGTTTGCCGTGCAGGGGTCTAGAAAAATCGACTTTGTGACGTCATCAATAGGGCTAGGTCCAAATTTTTTACTTCAGAAGATGTCAAATTGATGGGAGAAACGGTACTGAAAGTTTCGCTTTCCTATCCCTATAAACGTTCGGGAGCTATCGCAAATATTCGCCAGGGGGGGGGCGAAAATCGCCCCCCCGGGCCCGCGAGGGTTAATCTAGTGTATGGGGCTTCTTGCCTCAGGCCGTGGGGCGTTTTGCCCTGGGGTTGGGGCAAAATGCCCCATTTGCAGTTGCTTCACAAAGCACTTACTAGCTGGGAGTCCGACCAAAGTGAATGAATTTGAGGGGTGGAATTTAAAGTAAAATGTCCAAAGAACACACTGAGCATAAATTTGGCCTTCCAGGTCGTGTGAGACAAAAGTAGGTACCTATGTAGCAAAATAAATTATCTGGGGCGTCTTGCCCAAGGCTACCCTACTTTATACTCTACGTACATTTGCTATACGTAGGCTTTTGTACCTACGTGACGTACTTTTTTGTCCATACGTACTTTATACTGTACGTACTTCTGCGATACGTACTTTTGTCCGTGACGTACTTTTGTCCATACGTACTTTTTACCCAACGTACATTAGCTATACGTACTTTTGTCCGTGACGTACTTTTGTCCATACGTACTTTATACCCTACGTACTTCGGCGATACGTACTTTTGTCCCTGACGTACTTTTGTCCATACGTACTTTATATAGTACGTACTTCTGCGATACGTACTTTTGTCCCTGACGTACTTTTGTCCATACGTACTTTATGCTGTACGTACTTCTGCGATACGTACTTTTGTCCTTGACGTACTTTTGTCCATACGTACTTTATATTGTACGTACTTCTGCGATACGTACTTTTGTCCCTGACGTACTTTTGTCCATACGTACTTTATACTGTACGTACTTCTGCGATACGTACTCTAATCCTACGTACTTTTGCTTACGTACTTTTGTCCTACGTACTTTAGCGATACGTACTTTTGTCCGTAACCCGGCCTCAGACCAGGCTCGGACCTCCCGTCACCTCGACTCCGCCGGCAACTGACACCGATACCGACCATCAGTGGTGCTGACACTGAACACGACACCAAACAGCTGACACTGATACTGACACCAACCGTAGGCCGTTTGGACGACAGACGACATTCAGTACCTACCTTCCCCCCTGACTGCCGCTGACACTAAACGCCCTGCCGTCTGTCTTATTCCTGTCGAAAATAATAACACCCCCTGTATATACTCTAAATGCGATTGTTGTCCCCATCATTGGCGGTATCGTGTGACGGTTATTCCGTTGAATCACGTGTTAGGCTGAAAGGCACGGTCAGACTAGCCTAGTCCCCGTGAGAGAAACACCCACGGAAATGGATTGTCCGAGGGGTAACGGAATTAGATATTTCCCGCTCATAAAATCACCGTATGGACGGAAGTTGGGAAGCTTTTATAATTTCCTCATGAACAGCAGACCTGCAGAGTGCAGATGGATGAGAGATGGAAGGGTTAAAACGTAAGACATTAGGGTTCCTGCTAAAACATAGCTACATTTTATTCTAGCTATGAACAGAGACATTACGGTGCATTTATCCCCAATGCATTACTTTAATAATCAAAACTGCTTGGTCAAAACTAAGGTTAAGAAACCAGATAAGACTAGTGGATAAGCCGTAAGGACACAGCCGCTCGTATCACATGAGCATCTCGTATAAAACATCACGTAGCTTTACGAAACGATTCACACGCTCATCACGTATCAAACACGACAAGCAGGTAAGTTTACAGATAAGTAATGTCACTGCCCACGACTTGTGACGAAAACGCATCATCCATTCCCAGTTCCTCCTATCTCAGCCATAATTGCTCAATTATTCATTGCTCAACAAATGGACATGCGGCAAATAAAGAAATCTGTTTTCTCATAAACTTATCTAAAATTACGAAAACACACTCGCCACAATTTTCCAGACAAATTACATTAAATCGTGTCGCTTTACTTAGCATACAAAAACCGCACACTCTGAGTTTGCAGTCAGAAAACGTGAGAGATGTCTCTGGTATGTCTGATTCAATTTGCAGGAAGGCAGTGCTCGCAGAACAGAGCCCGTGCACCGTGGAAAATCAGACACCGCTCGTCGATCTGCGTGCTACAGGAACAGTGGCGGCGGAAGCAGGGGGGCAAGGGGGGCAGCTGCACCCTAAAGTTATGGAAAGGGGCGCCTCGAAAATCTGTAGAGGAGGCAGGAAGTTAAGAGGTGCGGCAGCCATAAAGCTGAGCAGTGCGACACCGCAACTGATAAAGGCACTTGTGACACGAAGAGGGTGGCAATGACGTGAGAAAAGTATCTTTTGATATGCTGAAGAGTGGAGGGCATCCTTATCTGAAACAAAGGCAGATGCTGCCGACCCTGTCGAATATAATCTTGCCAGGCGATAAAGGCTAGGAGGGCGCAGCCACTCGAGAAGCGCGCCATGCGGAAGAGGGGCGCCTGCATGCGAAAGAGTGTGTGGGCCTGTGTGTGGGACGAAAAAGAAACATTTATGGAGACGTCTTTGAAGGCGATAGCCTCCGAACGCCAACACGAACATATGAGGGCTTATAGCGTTGCAGGCTCCATGCGACAAAAAGGGGCGCCTGATGGCCGATATGCGAGAGGAAATTAGTTTGTGTAACATTTATCGGGGGCGGTTTGCCGTTTACAACATATGAATGTTAAGGGAGGTCCGAGATTGGGGCCTGTAAAATTGCACTGTCCGTATGGGTGGTTACACCCCTAGTGCTAGGGCGTATTTTGCGTTTTTTTTTTTTTTTTACTGGGGAGATGATTATGACCAGGAATAGCACTCTGCAAACTTCTATGGGCGCCTGTATAGGGGCGAAACTGATTTTCCAGTGCAAGGACGGCCATCGGCATTGTGGGGCGGCATTCATTCCACTGGGGCGTCTGCCAGTGTTGAAGGGCGGGATTCATTTCAATGGGGCGCCCGTTGGTGTTGATGGGCGACATGTATCACCTGGGGCGCCTATCGGAGATTGGGGCGGCATTAATTTCACTGAGGCGCCTATCGGCGTTGACGGGTGGTATTTATTCATCCGGGGCGCTTATCGGTAGTATAGGCCGGCATTCGCTTCACTGAGGTGCCTATCGGTGTTTTAAGGCGGCAGTAAATCCACGGTGTCTGGGGCGCCTACCGGCGTCGAAAGGCGACATTCATAATTCATTTCACTGGGAGGCATATTGGTGTTGATGTGTAACA